TCTTTTGAACTTTTTGAACCTCCTCTTTGAGTTTAAAATTGTTTTCTTTAAGTTCATAGTTTTTCTGTTTCAAGTTTCTCAAAATCAGATGCAAGATTCTTTTTGAGTTTCTCCTATTTGATTTTAAGTTGACTGTAGTTTTCAAGAAGTTCTGAGAAGCTTTCTACTAGTTCGGCTCTAGAGAATTCAGAGAATGCCTCTTTTGGTTCTGAATCAGAGTCTGAGTCATCGTCATCTGCTGTGGTAGCCATAAACGCTAGGTTAGCGTGCTCATCTTCTGAGTCAGATTCAGCTTCAGAAGATTCTAAATCATCCCAGGTGGCCATCATGCCTTTCTTTCTTCCAAACATTTTATTTGGTCTTTCTCTTTGTAGCTTAGGACAATCATTTATGTAGTGTCCTAGTTCTTTACATTCATAGCAGACTAAATCTCTTCTGCTTGACTTCTTATGTCCAGAAGATTCTGGTTTATCTTCTGACCTCTTGTAGTTTCTGAACTTTTTTTGTCCGTGCTTCCACATCTGGTTGATCCTTCTGGAGAGCAGAGATAACTCATCTTATTCTAATGCAGAGTCTTCAGAGTTTCCTTCTTCTTCCTGAAAAGCGTTAGTTTCATATTTTTTTAATAGATTTAAGGGTGACAGACTTACCTTTCTTCTGAGGCTCATGTTCATCAAGTTCTATCTCGTAACTTCTTAATGCACTGATAAGTTCTTCAAGAAATACATCATTCAAATCTTTTGACACTTTGAATGCAGTAACCATAGGTGCCCATCTTCTGGGTAAACTTCTGATAATTTTCTTAACATGGTCCGTCTTGGTGTATCCTTTGTTCAGAACTCTCAGGCCAGCGGTCAAAGTTTAGAATCTTGAGAACATAGCTTCAATGGACTCATTTTCTTCCATTTTGAAGGCTTCATACTTCTGGATGAGAGCCATATCTTTTGTCTCTTTTACTTAAGCATTGCCTTCATGAGTCATTTTGAGAGACTCAAACATGTCATGTGTTGTATCTCTGTTGGTGATTTTCTCATATTCTGTTTTAGAGATAGCGTTCAGAAAGATATTTCTGGCTCTATGGTGATTTTTAAAATCTAATTTCTGTTGTTTATCCATGTTCTTTCTGTAAATCTTGTTTCCGTCTTTGTCTTCTGGATGTGTGTAACCATCTAGGACCATATCCCACAAATCAGCATCATGACCTAGAAAGAAACTTTTTAGTCTATCCTTCTAGTATTCAAAGTCTTCTCCATCAAACACAGGAGGTTTGGTGCAGTTGTTGTTGTTTTGTTTAGTTGCTATAGTGTTTTCCTTCTGGATCTTTTTCTGACACTGTTAGGTGTTTGCACTCAGAACTAGAGCTCTGATACCAATTGAAGGGTGAGAAAACACTTAGAAGGGGGTGGGGGGGGGGGGGGTTGAATGTTTTTTCTTTTTCTCGCGCAATAATAATGGAAGGACACAAGTATTTTTTATCCTGGTTCGTTTGAAACTCAAACTACTCTAGTCCACCCGCCAAGGTGATTTCGCCTCTCTCAACGAGGACTTAATCCACTATAATCAAAACTGATTACAAATGCACAACCAAACTGTTGTGACTAACAATACAATACACAAGCCAACTGCAAGTGACTAACACCTCTAAGACTCAACTAGTCATAGCCCTCTTGAGAAATCTGACCCAATTGGTCTCTCAAGGAACAATTATAATGCACAACCAAACTGTTGTGACTAACACCTCTAAGACTCAACTAGTCCTAGCCCTCTTGAGAAATCTGACCCAACTGGTCTCTCAAGGAGCAATTACAAATATTATCTCTTAACAGTAGTGAATCAGAATGCTTCTAATAAGCTATATCACAAAATGTGATTTATCACTAAGATTTTAGCCCAGTACTTAAAAGTTACCCACTATATACAAAGAGTTTACAAGAATGAAAATAGTGAGCTTCAGTATATTTTGCATGGATCAGTAACCTTTCTTTGAAACAAATGGTCTTCTATATATAACTTCAAATACTGACCGTTACTGCCTTGAAGAGAAAGTATGCATTAATGATGTGTGTCAGCTTGATATTTATGTTTCCAATGCTCTCGTGCATAGTACCACTTGAGTGTGTTAGCCATCTTAGAATTAAATGATCAACGGTACTGTCAAAGCTTGTCTCTGGAAGTTTAAGAGTTTGCTTGCAGCATTGCAACATCAGAGTTTGCTTTAACTTTTCTTCTATCAGAGTTTGCTATATCACTTCTTCTGTTAGAGTTTTCTTCATTTTATGTTCATCAGAGTCTGCTTCAGCTTGCATTATCAGATATTGCTTTCAATGTGCTTCTTTCAAATCTTTGCTTCAGCTAGTTTTATCATAGGTTGCTTAAGATTAATTTTTGTTAGAGTTTGCCTTGGAGTGCTTCCTTCAGAGTTTGCTTCAGACTTGCGTTTACATAAACTTTCTTAGGAACTTCTTTATCCTTTTTCTACTCAGCGTAGAATGATGTTTCACTTTTGAGAATGCTTGAGTCAAAATATCATCTGAATTAGAAAACATGCACATCATAGTTTAAAATATATTATACAAAATTTATTTCATTGTTATCATCAAAACTCTAAGATATGATTAGAACCAAACTTTGTTCTAACAAAGGTAAACATCGAGAAAACTTGAGAAGGGAGAAGTCACAGTCTTGCGATCGAGAGACTGTGTAAGGGAGTCTGTTACACGAGGAGAAGGTATTAGCACCCCACACGCCTGTAGTACTTTATGGTATCCACTTTTGTTGTTCTATCTTATGGGTGTGTCTAAACTATGCTTTCTATTTACTACCGAGAAAGAATGCATGCAAAAGAAAGAAAAGAATGTAGGGAAAATAAATTTGTACTCGCTTGGGCCCTACCCCAATGTCTATGTATCCTTTTTGAGGAATCAAAGCCACCGTAGTTTGGCTCACATGTTTTTGTTTATTTTGTGTTTTTATGGATAATGTTAATTCTGCCTTCTGTCGCAACTCGACCTTTGGAGACTTATGCGTTGGCACAGAAGTAAATTAATCACGTCCTACCTGAAAAGGGTTTTGAGAAAAGGTGCTTGGACGCACAAAAAGGTTTGAGTTGGTTTGTATTTTGTTACCTTGAAAAATGATTTAAGTGTTATTAGCATGTTTTAGGTTTGCTAAGGAAAAGTTTTAGTTTTAAAAGCAAGGATGCAAAAGAGGGAAGAAAAGAGTCTACAGGGGAGACTAGCCTATTTCTAAACCTAATGTTATCATACAATGGTATTCCTAAGATTTGGATTAACAAAATGGAAATGTCTACCTAATGTTAGCATGCATGGTTTGCAACCTAAGGTCTAACTTGCATCCAAACGGAGCAAGCACGTCCTAAGGGAACATGGTATGAAAAGCGAGTAAACAAATAATCTCGAAAGAGCACACACATAAAATAGTAAGGAAAAGAAGAGAAATGCTTTAGCCAAGTGGAGCGTATCACCCGAGATAAACAAGCGGGAATGAGATGAAAAAAATAAAATTTGATGTCCAAAGCGACTGAACACCTAACCAAGATATAAGAGATTGAGGTAAGCGACAAAAGGAAATATGAATGATCATAAAGTATCAGCATCGACCCATGTGAACTTCTGTCAAAGCATGAGGGTTCGATTACGAAACTCTTCCCCACTTGACGACTCTATATACAAGAGCAGGCATAACTCCGAAGCTTCGTGGTGCGTCACGAGCTAAGGATGACACATATAAAATTGCGGGGGTTGATTGCTAACCCTCCCTGCTCGCCTCGTTTTGAGGACTTCAATAAGGGATGGGGGAATAATGCAGGCACAATTATAAACACACCTGCAAAATACCTACACAAAAATAGGGTTTTAAACAAACCACACACAAGTAGCAAACAGAATGCACACAATGCGAAATTTCCCTAAACGGGTCTTTAAATAAACTAGAGGGGTTCCTGACATGATCATCAATGGATATCCCCATCATACATCTCTATTCCTACTTCTCATGGCATCAGAAAGCAGTAAAATCCTACTTCTCATGATCTCTAGAAAAGCGGTAAAGAAATGTAGTAAAGTGAGAAGAAGTACGAAGGTAGTAACGACGACTACCAAAAGCGCAGATCGTCAAGAGTGGACTAAAGCAATGGAGAAGTAGGGAGTACGTGTCGAGCAAGCTTCACCAAGAAATAAAAAAGTCAGAAATGATATCCAACTAAGATAAAAGCAAACGTGTGTTGTGAATGCAACACGTAATCGGAAGTTCTTGTGCAAAGCATCACGAAGTATCGTATATATCAGGACAACATATAATAGGATATAAATTTCTCAAGACGATGAGAAATAAGGCGTGTTGCATCGGAAGCGAGCATAAGCCATATTCTTCTATCACATAACAACTCATTATGTTATATGATCGAAAACATAAAAGAATGTACCTTGCACAATGAACAGACGCGTCAAAAAAATAACGAGGCACGACGATACAAAATATGAATAAAAACTAAAAGAGAAAAAGTATTTTTCTATTAGTTTTTTACGTGTGGAAAATTCTAAAAATTAATTTTTAAAATCAATTAAAAGGGTTTAAGTTTTATTGATTTTGTAGTTTTCTTATCACAAAGAAAATAAAATAAAATCCTAAATCTAACAAAGAGAAAGGTATGATCAGGGGTGTATGTTGGAATCTGGATGGTAAGCTCAATAGTTCAGAATTATGGTGTTAAGCCCAATCTAGAACGAATCTAATAGTTTTTTTTGTTGGAAATAATCAAGAAGCTTTCCCAAAAATGAAGAACGGGCCAGGGGTGTTAGGCCCAATCACCAATCCAAACAATTTTCAGCATTAGTTTCATTATTATTAAAAGAAAAGAAAAATTAAAAGAAAAAAAATGTAAATAAAGCAATACAATTTGGATGCAGTTAGGGTTAAGTTAATGTGACCTTTCAACTTCGTGGAAACCCTCGATTCTTCCTCTCAAACCACCGCTGTGAATGACACCTTCATCTTCTTCAATGATCAAAAACACCATCGTTCCTTCGATCTTTACCACACCGGTACAAACTCCTTCAACTCTGTTGCTCAGTTTCTCCATCGCGGATTACTCAACTTCTCCTTCTTCAACGATTCTGTCGCTGTTTAGCCTTGAGGCTCCATCGATCACCATCTTCATCTCAGACTATTTTTACTTATGTCATTTGTGACTCCTTTTTCATTCAACCTTTCAAAACCAGAACGAATTCACCACCATACGGTTCTCTTCTCTTTGTATTCTCTGTTTCCATTCTTCAATTGTATGTCTTCGTTCTTTGAGTTGCTCTTGGAGTTGTTGTTTGACTATAGAGATGTCATTGATGAAGGTTCAGTTATGGTACTGAAGTGAAGCGTGAAGAAAGGAAGATGCACGAATCTGAGAAAATTGTTGGAGCTGCAGTGATGAAGATCAAAGATAATGTCTGAAATTCTGTGTTTGTTGATGGAGAATGCTGATTGAAGAATGATAGCAGAGAATTATGATGCGTGTAACGAATCAGAGAAAGAGATCAAGATCGAATTATGGTGATACCGGTGGTTCAAGGTTGAAGAATCGTGAAGATTGAAACTATTGTGCAGAGAAAGGATTAAGAGATTTTTCAGGGAGCTTTTTCTGGTGATTCTTCCTAATGTTGAAGAATGATGATGGTTGAATAATCATTGATGCAGAGAAGCCGTCTCTGAGAGATTTTAGAGGTGAGTTTTCCTTTTTTTTACTCAATCTCTGTGGATAATTTTTCTGTTATGTCTTGACAGAATTCCTTCCCCTATCTTATGAATTCTGCTAGCCCCTTCTTGTTCTTCTGTTATTCTGTTATCCGTTTTTTCTTTTGGATGGCCGTTTTTGTTGAGGCCATTAGGGTTTGTTAGAGAGCGGTTAGCTAGAAACTGTTAAGAGAGGTTAGGATGTTAGAGAATCTGTTAGTTTTGTTAAAACAGTTAGGAGGTTATAGGTTGGGAACTGTTATGGGAATTAGTTTAGAAAACGGTTAGGGGGTTATAAGTTGTTAGAAACTGTTAGAAGATTTTTTTGTTATAAACTGAATGGTGCAGTAAATAGGTTAGAGAATTAGTTTTGGATTCTGTTGGTTTTCTGTTAAGTTTGTTACAGATTGTTTTGGTTATGACTGTTGGTTGAAAAAAATCGGATAAAATTCTGTTTTGATGATTCTGCCGTGTATTGTTGTTAAACAGTTAGGAAGTGAAGTTCTGTTTGAATGAGCTGGCAGGTTATGTGCAGGGTAGTTAGGATACTATTTAGTTATGGTTTTCATTTGGTGTGTCGGATTTTAACTGAGCAGGTTTAGTATTGGCTCCAATCAGATATTATGCAGGCTTTCTCCTTTGCAAAGGGTTGATACAACAAGTTGCTCATCATGCTGTTTTTTTGGTATTTATGCAGGTTATGACATGTTTAGTCTATAAGTATGGACTGATTTATTATGGACATGATGATGGTGTTTTGGTGCAGGGCTGTAACCGGTGATACAATCCTGATATAGTTTTGGACAACAGGTCGTTTGAAGAAAATACAATGGCAAGCTTTTGGTTTTGCGTGACTGAAGCAAGAATTGAAGTCATTAACAATATGAAGGCATAAGTGGAGAAATATTGATGAAGTCATAGTGGGAATAATAGGTTTTAAAGAATGTATTCAATGCATGGCAATGTAACATGATATAGTAGTGAAGATTTTTTTGTAATTTTGTAATGACTTTGTGCATGTATATCTTTATAATTTTCTCTTGGATGAACTCTTGTAAGGACCTTGAATGGATTTTGTGCTTGAATTTGAAAGTGATGTTGAATATGACTTAAAATGTTTTTGTGATGGAAACTTTGATTTGGAACTTATTTGAACATGTAAGGATTTTGGTCAAATATCCTTGAATTTGTAATAAACAAAACTTGAATCAGGTTTGAATTGTTTTTCCTCCATTCTTGTTTCATTTTAAATTTCAAGCCTTTTCCCATTTGTATCTCATGCCACACCATGCTATATTTAGATAAACCACGATAAAAACCATAAGTGACTAGAAATACTTTGGTCAAAAGTCCGCCTTCCGTGGTTGACTGTGACCAAGAATTAAGGCTTGCGCAAATGACTTACTTCTTAGAAAAGATTCCCAAAATACTCAATGTAAGACCTTAAATCCTCGCATAAGATCCAAAGTAAATGTCTTGAACCAATATTTGAATTTATGGTAAGAAAGTACAAATGCAACCCTCATTCGTCTTATGATATAATCCTTATGAAATGACTTTCAATCTATAATTGACAATTAATTTTATGCCCAAGTGTAGCATCTTTGAAAGAAATCTATCAGAATGAGTTACACCACAAGTAATAGAGGAACCATACCTACTATGATGAATAAAGCCCAAGTATTGAGAGAAATAAGCCCATGATGATTATAGAGCCAAGCCCTATCCATATTCAAAGAGAAAACCAATTAGACCAAGTTTGTAGAGTGTTGATCAGAAGCTTCAAACCATGTGGAAACCCTAACTCTTTAAGAGCCTTGATCCCATGACAAGTCATGAAGAATGTTGCATGATATGTTAGATGACCTGATGAAGGTTATGTACATGAGAAAAGTGTGAGATGCATAAGCCCGATAAAAGTGAGAGGGTAGGATAAATTTGGGGTATTACACTGTGTTGGCAGGCGCGATAATATTTCTAATTTTTGGAGTTTGATGTGGTCTTGGATCATTAAGGGTACTTTGGAATTTTTGCACTGCTGGGTGATGACCTGATACTAATTAGGTTTGTTTCTGAGAAGGGGGAAGTGACTTTTTGCCACACGAAGAATGAAGGATTGAATATTGAAGCCTACACAAGTGTTGGAGAACAAAGACCTTTTATGAGCGGAAGCGATTGAAGATCAAGTTCACCATCTATGTGTAATGTTTAATTTTTATTCTGAAATTACTTTGAACAATATGAGTAGCTAAACCCCCCAATGCTAGGGGGTGTCCTTGATTTGATTCTGTAAGGATTATGAATTCTTGAGTTCTTTAATAAAGTTGTTTTCTTATTCAACTTAATCGTGCAATGTTTTTGTTCTTTCCTGATCGGGCCAATTAGGATTGATTCACGGTTAACAACCAGTTGGACTGTGGTTGTTAAGGTTTATGTACGAATAGACTATAGTAGATATCACCTAGGACTAGGGATACCCTGTAGTTACCAAATCACTCTTGATAAAATAAAGTCTTGACTCCATCAGATATCTCTAAGGACTTAGGATTTAGGATGGAAAGTTAAAGATTTTCTCACTAAGGACTTAGGAAAAATAATCTAAAGGGCTGGTAATTGAATGTCATGAACTTGTTGAAGAAATCAGGATTCAAGGTCCTTATAGGGCAAATTACACACCACACCCTAGCATGCTCCTCATATCAGTAAAAAACCACTTTATATTCCTGCTATTTGTTAAGTGAATATTTCACAACTAAAACCCCATATCAAGTTTTGTTTAATTGGACCATAAATTGAACTCAATACTCATACGTAGTCCTTGAGATTGATACTTTGGAATTTCCCATTATTACTACATCGGAAAATTAGTACACTTCCTAATTTATCGATCAAGATTTTGGCGCCGTTACCGGGGACTGCCTAGTTATTGAGTGTAATTTGAGTTCAATTAAAATTTTGTTGCTCTGCAACTAAAATTTATTTTCTATAATTTTTATATTTTTTTTGTTATTATTGATTTCTTCTAACCTTTGCATGCAAAGAGAACCCTCAACTAATTTTCCTTTTGACGTGGAAATTGAGAGAACATTGAATGCAAGACTTAGACAAGCTAGATTAGAAAGAATGGACTCTTAAGAAGAGAAAATCTCTATGGCTGAAGATCCACCAGAGAGACTTCTTGGTGATTATGGTGGGGCAAATGCACTGGGTGGCAGGTTGATAATTGTAAACCATCCGGTGAATGTGCCAAATATTCAACTGTATCTGAGCATAATCAATCAGCTTGAGAGAAGATCTTTCACCAGAAAGGTCAACGAAGATGCCAATAAACACTTGTAGAGATTTTTGACTACGAGTACCACTTTAAAGATTCATGGGCATACAGGGGAAGCAAAGAAACTATGAATGTTTCTGTTTACCTTATCTGAAGATGCTGAAGAGTAGTTTTAATCATTACCTGCTAGGAGTATTAATACCTGGGAATAGATGAAAAAGACTTTTCTTGACGAATATTTTCCTGCTTCTGTTTACATTTGCAAAAGATGCGAAATTGTGACTTTTAAGCAGAAAGAAGGAGAGTCGCTGGGTGATTCCTATAAGAGATTCAAGAGGTTGTTGGTAGCTTGTCCAACTCACAACATGGACCAAATGGAACAAATGCACATGTCTGTGAATGGCCTCAGAATGAAGACAAAGCAACTTATTAATATAGTTGTCGATGGCTCATCCAACTTTACAACAACCACTGGTGCGAAGAAGATTATTAAAGTCATTGTTGCAAATGAGCATCTGGAGCTATATGACAGAGTTATAAGAAAACCAGGGGGAGTGATTGATTTGAAGTTGGAAGTGAATAATAAACTAAAAATTGAAGAGGCTATTGTTGTAGAAGTGGAGAAAAAGATGAAAGCAATGGGCATGGGTACTCAACAGGTAGCTCAGGTTCAACAGGAACACAAGGCAGGTTGTGAAATATATAGTGTACCACACATGATTGTCCATTGTCTTTCAACTCCATACAAATTGAGGAGATAAATTTTTTGAAGCAGAATAATTTGTATTCTAACACCTATAATCCTGGGTGGAAGAATCATCCAAATTTCTCCTAGAGAGATCAGTAGTAACAAGCTCTTCAGAAGGCAGAGTGGAAGGTAGCTATTGAAAAGCCATTTTATAGGGAAAATTACACACCACACCTTAGCATGCTCCTCATATCAGTAAAAAACCACTTTATATTCTTTCTATTTGTTAAGTGAATATTTCACAACCAAAACCCCATATCAAGTTTTGTTTAACTGGACCACAAATTAAACTCAATAATGATATGCAGTTCTTCAGATCAATACTTTGGGATTTCCCATTATTACTACATTGGCAAATTAGTACACTTGTTAATTTACCAATCACCTAACATATGTCTTTTTGGGTTTAAATCGCTCTATAGACTGAGAGACCTCTTGAAAGTTAGGAAGAATAGAAACATCATAAGAGTTAGGGGAAAGACATAGGAAAAAATTGATGATCAAAGAAAATTACATTATGAGAAATACGGATGCATTTACATTGGCATCATAACACAAGAACCCTTTTTGATTGAGATTATATCCCATAAATGCACATTGGACAGATTGTGCCCCAAGCTTATGACGTTCAAGAGGCGGTAAGTGAACAAAACATACACAACCAAAAGTGTGAAGGTCCTGATAGTTGGGATGAGATTT